TATATATTTTTGTTCTTATACTTACAATGAAGGCTTACAGTACCAACAGTTTTTGCCTGCGTGCCTTCAAAACCCTTTACAATAAATTTATTTTTACATACATTTAACTGCTTGTCAATCCTTTTAAAAATTTTGTTTGGTATTACTGAAATGTCAGCCCGGTCCCGTAACTGATTTGAAACATTAACATTATTTATCACTAAACTAGAACTACTATCACTACCACTGTCGGATTACTCTTGGTTGTCCACATTCTCTACATTTCTTACTCTACAAGCAACTGCAAAGTGGTTCAAGATTCCACACCGTGAGCATGATTTTCCAAATGCTGGACACTTTCTTGGCCCGTGCATTATTTGACAGCGCCTACATTTAAATTTGTTTTGCTGTTTTCTGCTTGTATGCGATGTATGTTTATCCTTGGGAAACCTGTTGATAGCCTGAATTTCTGCGATGCTCTCTTATGCAAACATTTTGTTCTGGTTCTTACTGATTTCACTTGCACGGCAAATTTATATGGCTTTATTTAACTTATCTATTCTTAGTAGAGCTTCTCTTGTGACTGTATCACGAATGCCCATGACAATTCTGTCTCTTAGAGTTTTCTCCTCAGTTATTTCATCTGGGTCAGTTACATTAAAATTACAAGATTTTCCAGGTGCATTACTTCAGTGAGGTAATGCTCAAAAGATTCGCCCTCTTTTTGGTTTCTGCTTAAAAACTTGTACCTTTCAAACACCTTTCATTGGCTCTTGGATTAACATATACCTCTAGCTGTTCCATCATGTATTTGAAGGGCTTAGCGGTTCCATCAGTGATGGCAATTGTGCACATTATTCTAGCGGACGTGACTCCTATTATATTTCTGAGGATTGCCAGCTTTATATTATCGGCAGACTGACCTTTCCCTGTGGCTACTAGATAATCTTCAAATGAGATCTACCAAAACTTCCATGTGGTAGCGGCATTCTGCCCCTGTAAGTCGAAATCCGGAGGCAATTTTACAGGTCCATGCATGTGTGACTGTGCCATGTTTAGAATTAATGTATCCACATATATTAGGATGTTTTAATAATTGAATAAGCTTTATAATCGTTTATTTGAAACTAAATACAAACTTATACTTTTACAGATGATATTTTTGATAGATGACATTAACCTTGAAAGTTGACACCACACGTCTAACGGCTATGTTCGGTTTAGTAATACATAGGTATTCTAAACAGATATAGAAGACATCTCTAATATACCTATATCACAACTTTGTGAACAACAAAAATTAAGTTGTTCGTAAATGCACCATTGGCACATATTTTAAATACGACCCTGAACCATTTGTAGTTTGAAGTGTCTGCCATCTGTTTTTAGGGTAAAATATCACTGTTGCATTCCATCACAAACTATCAAATAGTGTAGATACAAATATAAATTGTATTAAGTAATGTTTATATAATTAAATAGCTTATTTAAAATGGCAAATAGCTAAAACGTTTAAGCAATATTTAAGTATTTTATTTGTAACAGTCCGACAAACGACAAACCCAGGAATAAAAAAGTTTCTATGCATAATGTTTTATGTTTTTCGAATTTGAAATAAGTTGTAAACGTCTAACCGTTTTTAAATTTTAACAATAGCTGATTTATGTATTCCTGTCAAAGAAATTTTTAATACCGTCTTTTGTTTATACCGAAGGCATCATCCCACTGGTCGTGGTATGTAGTACACGTGGTAAAAAATATTTAAATCATGTTTTTTTTAGATCACAAGAAACAACAAACCGGATGTCACTTCCAAATATCGAATTAAATCCAGTAAGTTTGAGAAAATGGCTTTACATGAAAAGGAAATGATCTCTGGAAACTATGTTACTAAGGAACACAATTCAAATGTTGTTTTGTCACCTAGACTCACCGTTCTACCTAAAGTATCAACGTATAAAATAAACGTTTCTAAGAGCTTGGATAAAGCAGATAATTCAACATCTGAAAAAGAGTTTTCCGTAGCTCCAGATGTGAGAGAAATCCAAGCTCCCAAAAAAATATCTAAATTTGATCAGAAGAAATTTAAAACATTTGAACAGCAAGAAACATGTCCCACTGTCAAAGAAAATGAAAGAGATCCAACAAAAGTCAGACTTTCAACTAGTAATGAAACTACAAAAAATCCGAAAGAAAACGAATTAGAAACAAAAGTTTGTTCGGCTCTAAAAGGAATAAAAATAAAAAATTCGAAAAAACCGGTGCGTACAAAGCATCTCCGACCTTCTGATATTTTAGGACAAGAAAGTAAATTGGGCCGCGACAACGAAAGTCAACCTTTAGCAGTTGTTTCTGCAATAACACAACAAAATACAAGAGAAAACTCTATAAAAGTATCAGTATTTGATGGAATACGCGAATATGATTCTCAAAAGGGTCCCGTCGAGTCCGAGAAGATTGTTTTAGGTACCAAGGAAATCGTATCTGAAGAATTTGATTCAAATTATCCTTTACCATCTACAAGCATCTTTTTACCTAAAATATCAACATTTAAAACAAACGATTCTCAAAAGAGTGGCGTCGAATCCGAAGAAAGTGTTTTAGGCACCAAGGAAATCGTATCTAAAGAACTTAATTCAAATTTTTGTTTACCATCTACAAGCATCGTTTCACCTAAAGTATCAACATGTAAAATAAACGTTTCTGAAAGCAAGGGTGAAGCAAATAAATCAATATCGGAAGAAAAGTCTATCCCAATTATAGATGTAAAAGAACAAACATTAGAACACCAAAAAACATTTCACACTATTGATGAAACTGAAAGTAAAACAACAAATAATGCGAAAGAACATAAATTAATACCTTCTGTTCTAGAAGGAATAGAAGTAATACAAAAATCTAACAAACCAGTGCAAACAAAACCTCTTCTATGTACTGATATATTAGTACGAGAAAAAAAATTCGAAAACCACAAAGAGATTCAACCTGCTGCAGAGGGTTCTGTCTTAAAAGAACAAAATATAAAAGAAAAACCGGTAAAAATCTCATTGTATAGTAAAAAACCTGAAAATGCTTCTCGAAAGAGTTCTATTGAGTTTGAGGAAAATATTTTAGTTAACAAGCAAAGCATATCTGAAAAAACAGCCACTGAAGAACTCAATTTAAAGTATATTTCGCAGCCTACGCTCACCGCTTTACCTAATGTATTAATGTGCAAAACAAATATTTGTGAAGACTTGGGTAATGGGTATAATTCAACATGCGTAAAAAAATCTTTAGCAATAACAGATGGGACGGAAACGCAAACTTCCGAAAATGTTTCAAAGTTCCATCAGAAGGAATTAAAAATATTGAACCAGCAAAAAACATTTCCCACTATTGATGAAGATAAAAGAGATCGGAAAAACGTTTTGTCATCCAAACTTTCAACTTGTATTAAAACTACAAAAAAAATTAAAGGAAAAGAATTAAAAACTAAGGTTGGTTCGGCTCTAAAAGGAATAAAAATAATAAAATCGAAAAAACCAGTGCATACAAAACATCTCCGTCGTTCTGATAGTTTAGGGCCAGAAAATAAGTTTAATGACGAAAATGAAATTCAATCTTTTGAAGCTATTTCTGCATTAACACAAGAAAATACAAAAGAAAAGTCTGCAAAAATATCAGTATTTGATGGAATACATGAAAATGATTCCCAAAAGAGTCCTGTCGAGTCCGAGGAAATGGTGTTAGGTACCAAGAAAATCGTATCTCAAGAACTCAATTCAAATTATTCTTTGCCATCTACAAGTATATTTTTACCTAAAATATCAACATTTGAAATAAACGATGGCCAAAAGAATGGCATCGAGTCTGAAGAAAGTGTTTTAGGTACCAAGGATATCGTATCTGAAGAACTCAACTCAAATTATTTTCTACCACCTACACGCATCATTTTACCTAAAGCATCAACATGTAAAATAAACGTTTCTGAAAGCACGAGTGAAGCGGATAATTTAATATCTGAAAAAAAGTCTATCTCAATTATAGATGTGAAAGAACAAACATTAGAACACCAAAAAGCATCTCCGACTAGTGATGAAACTAAAATTAAAACCACAAAAAATGAGAAAGAACACCAATTTATACCTTCTGCTCTAAAAGGAATAGAAGTAATAAAAAAATCTAACACACTAGTGCAAACAAAATCTCTCCTGTGCACTGAAAAATTAGAAGATGAAAGAAAATTCGAAAACCAAAAAGAGATTCAACCTGCTGCAGATGTTTCTGCCTTAAAAGAACAAAATATAAAAGAAAAACCGGTCAAAATCTCATTATATGGTGGAAAACATGAAAATGCTTCTCGGAAGAGTTCCATTGAGTGTGAGGAGAGGAATTTACTTAACAAGCAAATCATGCCTGAAAACACAGTTACTGAAGAACTCAATTCAAAGTATTTTTTGCCACATACACTCACCGCTTCACCAAATGTATCAACGTGCGAAATAAACGGATCTGAAAAATTGATTAAAACGCATATTTCAACATGTGCAGAAAAATCTTTAACGGTAACAGATGTGAGGAAAACGCAAGCTTCCGAAAATGTATCAAAGTTCCATCAGAAGGAATTAAACATATTGGACCAACAAAAAATATTTCCCACTATTGATGAAGATGGAGATCGGAAAAAAGTTTTGTCATCGAAACTTTCAACTTGTATTAAAACTACAGAAAAAGTGAAGCTAAAAGAATTAAAACAACAACAAAGGAAAAAACACACAGCTGTAGAAGAAATAATTAAACCAAGAGGATCATCGCAAACAAAACGTCTTCGACGTACTGGCATTTTGAAACAAAAGCATAAATTGGACAACGAAGAAATTATACAACCTATACAAGCTGTGTCTCTCCTAAAAGAACAAAATACTAGAGAAACGCCTGTAAAAGTATCAATATTTAATGCAACTGAAGAAAAAATTTCTGACTGTAACAAAGAAAACGAAATACCAGCACTAGAAGCATTTGCTGCTTCTCCGATAAAAATGGGATCAAAGGGTGAACAGCAAAAGGAAAATAAATATAAATGGAACCAGGAAATGTCTACTCCTATTTCAACAGAAGCGAGTATAGCGAAACAATTAAGACGTGAAACATCAATTAAATCTTACTTAGAGCGCGAAAAAGAATTAGAAAAACAAAATGAAAAACAAAAATTAGTTGATACTACTTTCGACTTCTTAGAAATAACACAAAAAAACTCAAAAGGAACAGAAACTACGATACCACGTGATCATGAAGGCATACATGATTTCACAGAAGGCAAAAATTTTAAATATTCATCATCTTCTGATCCATCGGTAAAAGAACAAATATCTGACAAAGAAATTGAAACCCTAAAAGTAACTACTGTTCCAGTAAGATCTGAAAAAACAACAACAAATGATGATAATGTGGATGAAGAGTCTACTACTGTAGAAACTTCTGAATTCAATGATACCAATTTAAATTTAAAAAGCACCGAGCAACTATCAACATTTGCTCAACTAACGGTAAGATTAGAGAGATTTGACTATGATGTGCAAAATAAAAAAGCAATTGAAGATGTCTCAGAAAATCGTAAGCAAGAACAGGCACAAAGTATGTCTAATGATTTGAATCTCAAAAATATAGAAGATAATTCGATGAAATTATTAGATGCCGGTGCTATAATACTAGATGATAAAAGGAACCAAAAAGTATCTACTTCTAAAGCAGAAAAAGAAAATGAAATTAATTATATCATAGCAGAAGTTGTAGAAGATAATTTAGAGCATCAAAAAGAATTGAGAAACGAAAAAGAAAAACTGAACATAACACAGAACAAATCCACAGAAACACAAATAATGATTTCACATGATGATGAAGTTATACAGGATTTCATATCGAGCAAAAATACGAAACAATTATCATTTTCTGATCCAATGGTAAAAGAAAAATTATGCGACAAAGAAAAATCACCTGCAAAATTATACATTGTTCGATCGGAAGCAGAAACCTCGGAAAAAATAACCGAAGAACACATGCATGATGATAAAGTGGCACACGATGATAAAGTAATACAGAAGTCTACAGTACCTACTTCTGAATTTAGTGATATCGATTTAGATTTAAAAAATATCGAACAAGGACCATCTTTTGATCAACTAGTAGAGTTGTTAGATAGTTACGGCTATGATATACAAAAGAAAAAAACAGTTTCAAAACCGATTGAAGATGCTTTAGAAAAACGCAAAGAACCTCTGTTATCTAGAATAATGGGACTAGAACAATATGGACTAGCAGAAGACGAAAGTGGTACGCAAACATCTACAGTAGATATTAATATTTCACCCCAAGTAATACACTGGAACAAAGATGTACCAGAAAAGATAATAGGTGATGATTTAGGACAGTGTAAAAAAAGTAAAAGTCTGAAAGAGAATTCTGAAAATGAATGCGAAGTACATTCTGTGCTAGATGTGGGATCAAATCGATCAAGAATAATAATGAAAGTCAAGGAAATGATAGAGCACAACGAAATCAATTTAGTACAGCCAAGTTTGCAAAATGAAAATGGCGATATGTGTATCAGGTAAGACATGTGTTTAGATTTGGAATATGGGTTATAGTTCAGAATTTTTTTATTTTAGTTAAACATTATTTTCTTTAAACTCCGTTGCACGCTATGAATGACATTTCTTTGTCGTCAATAGTTTTAAAATTATTTCGACTTATGTATATTTTATTCTCAATTAAATAAAATGTATAGAAAAAATTTAGCACCCAAAAAATAATCATTTATATTAAACATCAATGAAAAAACAATATGTTAATTGTGTGCAAATGACAGTTAGGAACTGCTACTATTATTTCCAGAGTTGCTATGTGTATTTTTATTAATATCACAAAGTTTAGTGAATACCAACCTAAAAAATATTGTGAATAAGCAATTATTTATTGTATTTCTATCTATATTAGATTTTTTTAAGCGTACACGTTCGTCTGGTAGGGATCTATGGAATGAGAAACACAGATCCCCATATCGTGCTGTACTGCTTAGAGGGCGATCAAGTATAACATAACACAATTTTTCAAGATTTTCGATAACAGCGGGGATATAATGCATCCCTATCTGATACCTTTTTGAATGTAACATTGTCTAATCTCCCAGCGTTCTTTCAGGTTTTACCCTATCAAAAACCTTCGCAATCGATGAAAGCCGATCTCAATTATCGAAATTATATATCGAAAAATATCTTTACGTGGGTCGTGGCATTTATGGAGAAGCACATTTAAGCCTAAAATTGTCTCACGGGTACCCAGCGAATTCCTTAATCTGAACTGGTTTTCATCTAGGTCTCTTTCGCAATGAATAATGCGAGGAAAAAAAAATTCAATGTGTGGCTCATCAGACTAATTTACCTGGATTTGTCGCATCTTTTTACCCTGGTTTCTTCGAAATTGTTAGAAAAGCAGACTTCAGCCATTCCTTAGTCATTTCGCCAGTAGTATATACATAGTTCAGCTGGGATATTGTCTACTTCACTTGCTTTCTTGGTTTTGACTGATTTTATTGCATGAAAAAATTCAGATTTTAATATTTTAGGTCCTTCTGGATTTACATTGCCCTGTACGTAATGATACCTCTTCCTGCATTATCTACTAGAGTATTAGTGTTTTTCTTATTATATAACTTTATTATACAGCAACTTCACGAATTTTCTTGTGCCGCAAATTGAACGTGTCATGCTTATTTTTTATTGCTTCTATTTCTGAATATCTATCCTCCTTCCAGTTTTCTTTAGCTGCTCGTATTTTTTTTATTTATTTCTCTTTGTTTTCTTCTGTATTTGTTTGCTTAGTCCTTGTATTGCCTTTTTTGTGCCATAAGGTCTAGTAATTCTTCCGTCATCTATCGAATCTATTAGTTACACTGTGTTCTTCTATTATCTTGGTCACATGTTCATAAAATAATTTCCATGTTTTCTCAACATTTTCGGTTGTTTTTATTTCTTTCATGTAATGGTTTATATCATTTTCTACTTTAATTTTGTTGACGTCTGAAATGGTAAAATTATTTTGCTGATGTTTTTCTCTATTCGTTTTAGCCTTATTCTTGCATCAGTGACTAAAGGGTTGTGATCGGATAAAATATCTACTCTAGGGTATGTCGTAATTCTACTGAGGGAGTTCCTAAAAATTTTGTTGATAATAAGGGAAGAAAGAAATATATGTGTATAAACAATTCAATTGTAGGTACTACTCCTCTGTCCATGAGTTTGTCAGTTACTCAGATTCTTTTAATACTGGCATCCGGAGAGCGGAGGAGGGTTGCGGAATTATTAAATTACTTACATTAACTTCGTTTTCGTCGAGCCCACCGACATCCTTAGACGATCTTTCATTGTAGCGCACATTGCAAAGAATCTCATTTTGGCAGAAAGTTGTTCTGATGTTCTGTTCAGAGATGTAAAATAGATCCTACTGGTTGCACATATTATGTTTTTAAGGTCTCATTGTAGTGATAGAAAAAAAGAAATCATAAGGCACCTGCTTAAATCCTTTCAGTGGAGGCGGTAGATCAACGGACAACCTCACAAGAAATCTAGTGGTGAAAACTTGCATGCTTCTTATATCTAACTGACTAGGTGACAGGAGCTTGCTTGGGATTTGAAATATTAGGCAGGCGGGTCTGTAGGAAATTCGGAAAGACAGATTTCAATGCACACCTCTAACGGCAACAGGATAATTCGTCAGCGCGTTTAAAATGTGCAAAAAATATTGCGATTCGTTGAGTTCTATACCATGCCAGATTAGGTTTTGCTGGATCCTGCAGACTATAGTTTGCAGGGTTTTCTGTAAATTTTCATGTATTTTTGTCAACTTTTGATGGTATTACAGCAACGTGTTTCTGTGTATTACTGACAACAAAAACAAAATAAAAAGGACGTATAATACAGTCGAAGGATTCTCTGTAAAACATAAACAAAATAATATTGTACAATACAATCGAGGGATTCCCCGTAGAAGATAAGCAAAATGCATTGCCAACTTGGGAGATTTTAACTCCATAGTTTTTAAGGGATTTTTAAGAAATTTAAGTAAAAAAACAATGTTACGTAACGCTTTGTTCGAACTCTCTCCCGCCCCTGTAATGCACCATAACGTTTTATAAGAATTGTCCCCCCACATTGTGTCACGTAGTACTTCAACAACCCCTTATCCATAGACTAAATTTCAGATCCAGTTTTAATTTTACTATGTTATATACTTTTTTAGAAACACCAGCTTAAATGATAAAGACATGACAACTAAGCCAGATCATTCAGATAAAAATTTTCCAGAAAAAGGAGAAGTAGATGTTTTCAAACAACCGCAAGCAGTTAATGCAGTTTTAACCGAAACCAATATGAGTATAAACGATCATTCCTCTGAAGTGCACAAATTATCTCCGGTTGCTAAAAAAGATAGAGAAGAAGAAAATAGTGTTAAAACCGTAAGAAATGCTCGTCAAGTTCTAGAATCTGATGGTATTGAAGCTTATAATAAGAAGGTATGACGAATACTTGGACGTAGATCCTATACTTTGTAGTATTTATTACCCTAACTAATTTTGACATTTCTAATAGTGTTTTCTTTTAAGGATTTATCTAAATAGGTAACTACATTCTTAGCTGTATTATTTTAAATCTTATGTTCTTTGTGTTAAATGTTACTTTATCCCTTTATTACATTTTTGTTGATAACGTATTACAACTTCTACTAAGTTTCTTAGTATCATTGCCTTATTGATTTTATCATCGTCACTTCTCAGAAATTTCTTAGAAATCTTGACTAAACCTCTTTTTTTCTCGTGAGAAATCTAGCCCTATATCTTTTGCAGCCATTCGTCTTCTATCATTCTCTTTACATGTATATATACTCAGTGACATTATAAGTTTTACACCCAGAAGGAAGAATGAAGCGATAACGTTATCAAGAATTTTTATTAATATGTCTGCTTGTGGCACCTGGTTCCAAAAACTTTGAACTTCATGTAATAACTGTGTCAGAGTTTGTGGAGGATGGTGCAAAGTTTACAGTCTCCTTCCCATCATATCCCATACATGTTAGATAGGATTTAAATCCGGGGCACGGGGCGGCCACGACAAGACAAGCTTCTTGGAGAAAGTCCATAGTTTGACTAACAATATGTGGACGCTCGTTTTGTTGCTGAAAAAGGACGTCTCGACGGCCATCGAGATAAGACAGTAAAGTGGTTTGTAAGATGTCATCAACATAACGCGCAGCTGTCATATTGCCTCGAATAAACACAAGTGGTGATTGGCTACCATAGGCAATAGCCCCTAAACCATTACTCCAAATGTCTTGCGTACATGCCTCTCAATAGAAAACCCGATATCTTGTCGCTTTCCACGGCGGCGTCTTACCATCCTACGACCATCGTGCATTCCTAAACAGAATCGTGATTCATAGCTGAATGCTACATTACGCCATTCTGCCACCCAATGCTGCCGTTCTCTGCACCAATTCAAACTTTGATGACAGTGGTTCGCAGTCAAATGAAGCACTAGTCGTGGGCGGAATGAAACCAATCCAAAGGCTCGAATGCGACGATATAGTGTACACATACTAGCAGGTCTACCTACTACTCCAAACCATTGGTCAGCAATGTGATGCTTAGTAGCAAAACGGTCTCGCAGAGCCAGTAATCTAAATCGCCTATCTTAACGCTCTCTGGTACGCCTCAGTTGACCAGTTGATCTTCTTTGTATTGCTCTACCTTCGTTTGTCCACACACGACAGACATACATAACCGTCATTGCTGTACAATGAACACGACGGCCAATTTCGCGATACGACAAACCCATATCTCTATATGCAATAATTCTACCCCTGTCGAGATCGCTTATATGGTGGTAATTTTGGTGTCTTCAAACTCGAGACATTTTCTTACACTATACAATTAGACTGAGAAATAATAATAACTAAAAACTTTTATACGAACCGGTTTTCAGAAATCGGTCTCTTCATAAAGAAATTTAAAGATAAAACTTTATTTTTACAAAAAGTGAAAAGATAAAACGTTGGTATTGGCATGTTTTAAATATAGTCATTCTGTTGCCAAAAAATTAAGTTCAAGAAATTATTCCTTCTGGGTGTAACACTTCTAATGTCACTGAGTATAATATGTTGATTGATTTTTCGTGTCTTCTATCTTCGATTCAGTTTATTTCTGTTTCGTATTTATTCGTTTTTGGCCTTTCAAAGTTCCCATCTAAAGATGATTTCTTTTGTTTTTTTTTTCATGACATTTATAACGCATAGCAGTAGAGCACTAATATTTGTAACTTTCAGAACTTCTACTTTATTATAAAGTTTTTTTTGTTGAAAAATTTTATGACGAGACAGTCAATATGTGCAGTAGATTTGGCCAAATGCATTTTTTCTCTAGGCCAGCAGATAAATAATAAACAGATTAATTTTTCTACATATTTTCTCACCAGCATGTTATTTTATAGGTAATAAGTGATGAGGAAAAAAAGAAAGAAGTAAATGAAAAAAATAAAGAGAACAATTTGTCTACAACGGAACACGAAGAACCCCCAGTCGAAACGAGTTATATTGCGGATAAGAAAAATAGTAGTATTCGAAGAAAAAGAAAATTATATGATCCAAATGATCTTTCTGTAATTTCATTCCAAGAAGATGAGGTTGAGAGATGCGAGAAAAAGAGAACTACGGAACTACAAACTGAGATGAAACAAGGTATCATTATAATTTTTACTTTCCTGACGACTAACCGTAGTCAGTTGGTTGCGTTTCACAAACAAGGTTTGATTTATAATCCGATTAAGTAATTCATTTATTTTTTGTGATCGATTGAATGTTAAGATCATATTTTAACATTGAGCGGTATTACGACCATATGAACGGTTACTCTATAATTTCTATTTTTACATTGTATTAATTAAAGGGCAGACTAAAACATGACCGTTTTTGATCCAATTAGCTCTTAAAAAATATAAAGTCACTAGTAATCTTTTAAAATAAGTTATTACGTGAAGACCAAGGATTTGCAAAAAAAAACTTTTACAATCATGTAGAGAGAACTCACACTTACAATCCACTCGTAAGCTTATTTAAGCCTTTTCTGCAAAAGCTTCAGTGATACACGACAAACTTCATTCTGATGAAAATGGTAAATTGTATTTCTAATGAACTATTTATCTTAGTCCCTTAACCTTCCATTCTTCTTCTTCTTCGCGTGCCATGTCAGAATTATCCGACGTTGGCGATCACCATTGCGAAGGCTTCTCGATCTTCTGCAATATAGAATAATTGTCCCGCATTTGATATCCGAGTCCATTCACGAATATTCCTCAACCAAGAAACCTGTTTCCTTCCTACACCTCTACGGCCCTCTATTTTGCTTTTAAGGATCAGTTGTAATATTTTATATCGACTTCCCCTTACATCCCCAGATTACATCGTCCCAGATAAGACATTTTTCGATATTTAACAGTCTTTAGGAGTTTTCTATCTTTGTTGACGCTCCTTAGTACTTCTTCATTAGTTTTCCTTGCTGTTTTCCTTGCACATTTCCGATGCTTCAATTTTGTTCATGATCGATACTTTTAGCGTCCACACTTCTGCACTATAAAAAAGTACAGACCAAACATAGCACTTAATTATTCTTTGTCTTAGTTCTAAATTGAGATGATTATTGCAAAGAAATGACTTCATTTTCATAAAAGTAGTTTTAGTCATTGCTATTCTACGTTTTATTTTTATGTCTGGATCTAGTTGGTCCGTTATCACAGTTCCCAAATATGTCATTTTGTGAACTTTTTCAACTTGGACTTTATTTAATTGAAGCTAGCTTTGCATCGGGATGTCTTCTTCTTCACGTGCCATCTCCGCTACGAAGAAGGTTGGCTATCATCATGGCAATTTTGACCCTGGAGGCTGCCGCTCGGAACAATTGTATGGAAGTGCAAGCAAACCACTCCCTGAGGTTTCTCAACCATGACATTCTTCTCCTACCTATGCTGCGCCTACCTTCAATCTTTCCTTGCATAATTAGTTGTAACAGTTGATATTTATTCCCACATGTAATATGTCCCAGGTATTGTAGTTTCCTCATTTTAACACTCAATACGACCTCCTTTTGTTTGTTCATCCTATCTAATACAACTTGGTTAGTTATCTTATCCTTCCAGGAGATTTTTAACATTCTTCGGTACGCCCACATCTCAAATGCCTCCAGCTTACTTATACATTGCTTATTTAGTGTCCACGCGTCCACCCCATATAACAGGACCGAGAAAACATAACATTTAAGCATTCGTATTTTTAGCTTTAGGCTTAGGTTTCGGCTACACAACATTTGTTTCATATTGTTAAAGGCACTGCGGGCTTTCTCTATTCTTATTCTTATTTCTCTGGTGTATTCGTTTGACTCGGTAATATTTGTTCCGAGGTAATTGTAATTTTGTACTCGTTCAATGAGATTCTGTCCTACGTGTACGTTGATATTATTGATACGTTTCTTTGTAATTATCATGAATTTGGTCTTCTTTGTATTCAGTGACAGACCAAATTCTTCACTTGCTTCTACCACTTTGTTTAGTACTCTCTGTAGGTCGTCAATATTTTCTGCTATGAGCCCGGTATCATCAGCATATCGGATATTGCAAATGGGGTGACCGTTGATCTTTACTCCGGCTTTTTCGTTCATAAGAGCTTTTTTAATAACTTTTTCCGCGTAGACATTAAACAAGGTTGGAGACAACACACAGCCCTGCCGAACACCTCTTTTGATCTGTATTCTATCTGATATCGAGCTGTTAATTCGTACTGTAGCTTCTTGTTTGTAGTATAGATTCCTTATCACTCGCATGTCCCTTGTATCAATATTTTTATTTTCCAGTATTTGCATCAGTAGCCTATGTTTTACTGTATCAAATGCTTTGTTATAGTCTAGGAAACACACAAATATGTCCTGATCGGGATGTGGGTCACAACTAAACACTAAAAATTTGGTTTTGTTTGAGTTTATTTTAATGCCCATTTCCTCTCCTACCTCGTGAATATGATTAAGCAGAATTTGGAGACCTTTAATATTATCTGACAGAATTACTCTATCGTCTGCATATCTAATCACATTTAGTAGTTCCCCATTAATTTTTATTCCATATGGTTGTCTCTCAAGTGCCTTTTTAAACAACTGGTCCGAGTAAACATTGAACAATGTTGGCGACAAAATGTAACCTTGTTTGAGTCCTCGTTGTATGGTGATTACATCGGTGTAGTTATCTCCAAATTTTACGATAGCAGTGTGACTCCAGTACAAATTTTTAATGACACGAATATCCTTGTCATCTCTTTCGATATTTTTCAGTATTTGCATTAATTTATCGAATGCCTTGTCGAAGTCCACGAAACATGCAAATAAATCGTTTCTTTGGTCACGGTATTTTTGTATAGGAAGCGCAAAAACTGCCTCCCTGGTTCCCATAGCATTTCTAAAATCAAATTGGGTATCTTCGAGATCTTCTTCGCATTTGCGTCTAATTCTGTTCTAAGTATTTTTAGGAATTGCATTTGCATTTTTTAAGTGCATTTTGGAAATTTGCACTGTTTTTTACCAGTACGATCCCGAAAAACACATTAGTGGCCTATTTGATCGTAACGGATGTCCTCCGTCGGAAGATATGCTATCTTTGGTGCTCTTGCAGTGGTTTTAGGTGAACAACTGGAAGGTCGGCCAACAGGTCGTTTGACCTGGTGGCCAACACTAACAACTCAATTGTTTCTTTTTGGGGATGAATCCTGTGATACATTAGGTAAGCGTTGATCACCGCCACATCTATGAGATGGTAAAAAATACGATTATTCCATTTTCTGATCTTCATATGAATGCGATACCGACCTAATAGTCCATCCATCAAATCAACACGATATGCCTCATATATGCCGATTATATTCTTTGATGATGATCTGTGGGCAATCGATTTCATCATGAACTCTTTTTTTTCTGTCCCACCGTCTAATTTTTTGGGACTGTACGCAATCATTTTTGGATGCAAATGGTTTAACGCCAACATAAATTGGCCAAAGGCGCACATATTTTGTATCGTTCCACAATACAGAGGTAATATCTATACCATATGCGGTACCAACAAATTCTTCTGAATAGCCACGGACAACTTTCTTCCGTTGCAAAATCTGCTTGGGTCGATAATTTGCAATTGGGTACTCTGTTTTTCTCACTGTTCCCAAGCTGTATATTCCTCTACGTCGGAGATAGGTAAGCACGCCCAAAGACGTATAGAAATTGTCAAAGTATAAAATGTGATTTACGAAATTTGGAATGTGCTTTAATAAGCGAACCACAACATTCGAGGCAGCCCCAAGATCAGGAGTGTCGTCCAATATTGTGTTGTCTCCTGCACCAGTGTAAATTTTCGAATGAATACGAAAATCCAGAAGTGTCACAAAGGCAAAAAAATTTGAAACCCCACTTAAGTGGCTTGTTGGACATATATTGTCGGAGGTTACTTCCAGTAATCTTTGTAGCATACATTTGTTCGTCTACGCACAACCTAGAAGGCATAGGGACTGATAGAAACCTGTCATTGAAATATTTCACTAGCAGACGAACTTTATGCAAAGGATCGTATCCAGGGTTACCCCTTTCCACAGCTACTGAGTTGTCATTATAATGTAAGTACCGGCGTATGGATTCAAACCGAAGCGAAGGCATAGTCTAACGAATTGGCTCAAAAGAGTGTTTTCCCCAATATGATCGGACATTCGGATAACGATAAACAGACATATATAGAAGAATGCCAACAAATTTTCGAATATCATCGGACTGGATGCTGAATTTTGTTTGTGTATCATTTTGCCGAGCGTACAAGTTTATGTGCTCCACTAGATGATCAACCATTGTGTCGTCAAGAAAATAAAGAAAACATTCGTATGGAGTGGCTGATTTCTTAATTTTTTTCTGGAAACTGCTTTTGACCTCGAAATACCATCTCATTTACATTAGGTTGAAGGTGTTTACTTTCCCAAACAATAGATTTAAATTCGCTAGAATCATTTTTCATTGCAACAACATCACCTGTTACACCACGAACTGCTACTACTGGACCACCATCTTCTTCTGTTTATTCTGGCGTTCGAGGACGTTTCTGTCGCCGAAAAGGTTGTGAGGTTCCCTGCACTGGAATTACCTTAGATACACTTTGTACTTGCGACACCTACCTCTGATACCCCTAGTTTATCTGTATTGGATTGCTCTTGAATTATCTGGGTAACTGTTGAAGCTGCACTATCCGATTTAATTTCATCAGCACTTAAATCAGCAGCATCCTCAGCAACATGATCAGCTAAACTATCGTTACTCATTCTATCGTTACGCATTAATCAGAATTATAGTCACTCTCAACATCTGTTGCTTTAGCGTCAGCAGCAGGTATATGATCCAGCATCTCCCAGATTTCTGCATCTCCCAGATTTCAGACAGTCTGAAATCCCGTTGTGCCATTTCTGAAAAGAAAAATGTACTATACCACATCTCACAACGCTTTAGTAATAAGCCATCAAATAAATTTTTACTACGCCAGAATGCACGAGTATGGAAAATAGGGCATATCAAAAATGTGTAATAGAGGGATTTAACTAATCACCTATAATTTTTTCTGCCTCACTTAGCGTTCCACAAACAAATACTTATTTGACTAAAAATGAGTATTTGTGTATTCGCGCCAAATAATTTTTCACCCAATACTTCTAATTGTTCCCAAATAACTAATCGTCTCGGCTGCTCTGTGACAGATATGAAACTACTGACATCGCTATAATGTAAAACAAGCCATCCACGAAACATTGTAGGTACGCAACCAGAATTTCTCCCGTTCATATTAACATGACTTTGATCAAAGTCCACCTCAAGGTATGCATTAGAGGGTTAAATAAGCATTCCCAGATGTGGTGCGGAGCTTTTTTCAGATTTTACATAATTTTTTATTCCTGGTAATTGTAGAATAATATTTGCACTACGCGTTCTAACGTTTTTCGGTGGATAATGTTTTTCCATTTTGTTGTCTTTCGTTTTATATTGTTTTTCCCTGCGAAATATGGATCAAGCTGGTGTGTGTTAGGGTAATAATTCTCTAGGTTTTCATCAAACTCCTGTTCGCTGTCACTATCCTCTGATCTTTGCTTAATTTTGTCAACGTCGTCTTTAACGTTTTAGTTATCATAATTGTCATCATTACTTAGGACATCCTCCATCAATTTTAACAACCTATCCTGCTTTTTTTCTATCTACTCAATCTCAATCTGCAATGAGTTTACGACATATGTATTAAAGAAAACTAGCAAAAGCAAAAAGAGACTTACCCAAAATAACTATTAGACAAAATAATAACTGCCCACAAAATAGAAAAGTAAACGGACGGATCGATTTGTACCCCCCTACTTATGCGAAAGATATTTGCTTTCCGTTTAGCAACTATTGCAGCTAGAAATTTTTTGTGAATTATTTGAATCTGCCTTTGTTTACATATTCGCTTGTTGAATTATCCTTTTTACTGTGCGTACAGGTACCTCAGAAGCGTCGCTCACACGCTGTTTAATATTAGTTCGATTATTTCAGGGAACAGATTAAGCGTCTTGTAAATTATACCTTTGGATTGCAATGTAAATATGATATGTTAACTATAACTTTCATTATGAGATTGGAAAACATGCGACTGAATTACATATTCGTTTCACATCCAGTAGCTAGAAATACTCGAAAATAATTCTTATCGGTTTTTGGTTGCCCCTAGTGACTGTATAATAATAGTTTTAAAGATAAAATAATTTTTGTAAAAGCAAATTTCATTTATTGCTTAAGTGAGTAATACAATATTTTGCGGTTTTAAATATAAAATATTGTTCTCAAATTGTTTAATATTGAAACGCGATTACATAGTTGTTTCAAGTATCTCAGTAATACAATATTTTGTGCAAGTGCTTGCCACTGCATTTGAAACCAGCTGTATTTTTGAACGAAAATTGATCAAGCGTAGAAATAAATCTTAAAATCAACGAAAATTAGAAAACAACAACTGTTTCTTTTATTAAATATCTTAATAAAACTGATTTGCCATACATATTTCGTATGTCTTTTGTTAACCCAGAACATTGTCCCTGAATTCCGTACAGATTACTAATCTGAATTTGCATTTGTGTATATGTACAAATGTTTCGACAATACTTCTCATGAATGAACCATGTTTACGCTATTTATTAATGTATTTTATAAATTATGTTATGAAATGCTCTTAATTCTAATCTATTCTTTTCAGGCATAGATGAATCTAATACAATCAAAGAATCACGTTCAATTCTATTAAGTTCAGCCAGGGAGGGCTATGAACCATTAAGTTGTGCGAGAAAAGATCAGGATTCACCAAGCACTTACAAAAAGCAGTCTGCTTCATTACCTTTCGCCAAAAAATATCATGATCCATCAAAACATGGCAGAAAAAATTTGACAATAAGTTATGTCAGAACTAAAAAAACCAAAAAGGGAACTAATTCACGAAACCGTTCATATTTATGTGCTATGTTGAATCTACATAAAAGAAACAAACATGAAAGTAGTAATAATATCAGTGAAGCTAATCGAGCAATGTTAAATAGAACCTTGCACAAGATTTTTGGTTGGCCAGTTGAAGCAGAAAGTTTCTTAAAAAAAGTTTTTAAAAAATCCAATGCAAACTCCACGGAATTAAAAAGAGAAGAATGTTCAGAAAATAAATACGAAACACAAAATGAAAATACTAGAAGCCCCATCATTGTCAAAGCTAAGGGCCCTACAAAAAAGAAAAAAATACCAAATGATCAAATTCGTTATGCTGATTTAGTCAAGGCCCGAGATGCTAGTCACCATAAGGCAAAGGAAACATTTATGAAGGTTCTGAAAGATATTCAAGATGATTTAAATGATGGAGAAAATTTGATGGAAATGCTTCGTAAACATAAGAAAAAATCAATAAGTACGGAAAAACGTTCTTCGAAGAATAAAAGTGTTAGGAGTAAATCAAAAGGTAAGTAGCTTACAAATAAAAACCAAAGTTGTATTAAATTATTGCTTTAAGAAATATGTTTTTCTCTATTACTACTACTCCCACTACAAAAGTAATGTAAGTAATATGGCCATCAAAAAGATTGTTTTTTATTTTTCTGATAGTATGCAAAGAATGAAGTCTGTATAAAAATTATTACCTTTATTATCACTCTCTATCTTTCTAGTCGTTTCCTCATTAGTGAGTGTCACGATCTCCTATCATACGAGCAACTGTCTCTTTCCATCGGTTTCTTTTCTGGGCTTCTCTCATGAACTCAGATAATGGTTTGCCACTGGCTTTTTGTACTTTAGCTATCCAGTGAGTGGGTGAGCGACCTCTGCCTCTGCAAATTTTAACTTTCTCTTCTAAGTATCTCAGGATTATCATTACTTCTAGCACCACATCTCGAAAGTGCCAATTTCTATCTTCTCGTCCTATTCCATTGTCCATGTTTCGGACATGTAACTAAATATAGGAAAAATCAAGGCAAATACCATTCTCATTTTGGTGTTCTTCGACAAAGAGTTGTTTCAAACTGCTCTAAAGTTCCAGTTGTTTGTAGTCAGTTTGAATCATGATACTATAACAAAAAATAAGTCAACGCGCATCTCTTACATTTTTCTCGCGCACCTATGATGGCGTTAAATTGAATACTCTATTTTTGTTCATGTTGTAGTGTTAATATTTTACAATTATGATTGTAAAATCACAAAACACATATTGTTCGAAATTATATCGAAATTATTGGATACCAAGTTAACGCGATTAATAGTGATGTGGGTGATAGTAATATGTAGAAGTCTTTTGAGTGGTCTAAATATAAATAAACAAAATACGTGGTTCAAAAAATTACATTAGTAGAAAAAAATGTTTGTTTTTGCTAATACATATGCGCCACATATGATCAAATTAGGAAACATTTTTTGATTCTGGTTTTTTATTAAATTGGCTTATAATTAATTCGAATTCCGTTTTAGAGTTACTTAATAATAATGAAAAATTGGATTTAAATATTGCTCACAAAGTAGATAAAGACTTTTGGACTGTCAAAGGTGTTTAAAGTCAAAAGTTTAAATTTGCTATTAAATTATTTTCACACACAGTTTCTCTAGCCATTTCTAGATTAGCAGTTTTCATCATCATCTTGGTGCTACAGCCCTTAAAGGGGCCTCGACCTTCTCAAGCTTTCTACGCCATCCACCTCAGCTTTGGTCTACCCCGTCGTCTCATTCCCACAGGTTGCGCTGTTAGAATCTTTTTTATCATGTTCGATTCAGGGGCCCGGGCTACATGTCCTGCCCACTGCAGGCGGTTTCGCTTAATTATAGTGGTAATATCTTTACCACCAAACGTATGCTTGTAGATATTCTGCAGTTCGAAGTTATATCTACGCCTCCATATTCCGTTCTCACAGACCGCTCCAAATATCTTGCGTAGCACCTTTCTTTCAAAAATGGATAGAGCGGATTCATCTGTTTTCGTTAGCGTCCATGCCTCTGGTCCGTATGTGAGAACGGAGACTATCAGTGTTCTATACAGCCTTATACGAGTTTTTTGAGACAGACGTTTATTAGCTAAGTACTTTGATAGACCATAATAACACCTGTTTGCATTTATTATTCGCCTTTTTATTTCCTCAGATGTATTATTATTGGGGTTAACCGATGTCCCTAGATATATGAACTCATTGACTGCTTCGAAGTTTTGGTCATTGATGACTAAATTTGTGTCAACATTTCCAGCTCTTGTGTTTGTGTTAGTCGCCATAAATTTGGTTTTATTTTGATTTATATGTAACCCCTTCGTTCTGCTGCTGCTACTAGCTCGGTTAGGATTTCCGCAGTTCTCGCCCTAGTTCTTGTTATAATGTCCACGTCGTCTGCATATGCTAGAATTTGGACTGATCTATTAAATATTGAATATTGTTCCCCTGCTATCTAAATTAGCGTCTCGTACAACTTTTTCTAAGGCGACATTAAAAAGCTGACACTCCAGCGCATCTCCCTGCCTTAACCCCCTAGATTAGCAGTTTTAGGTTTGTATAAAAACAACTAGTTGGAATGCTCCCACTTCTTCAAAACTGTTTGATTGGCTTGATATTTTTAACTCCTGAGTGTCAAACTGTGACTCTTGAAATCATATAAAAGCATATGGATTGTGTTCAATTTTCTCACATGCGAAAAATCATGTTATTTTGTCGCTGTATTATTCGCAGAGACAGAAGACAAAGATTAACACATATCTTCAATACAACAGTTAAGAATTACAATATGATAACAACAGAGACAGAAGACGAGCTCCAAAGATTAACACATATCTTTAATACAACAGTTAAGAAATACAATATGATAACATCGGCAGAAAAAAAACAAATGTATGACAATTTATAGGAAAATAATAATGCAGGAAGCAAGGTTTTAGATATCTGGGACTGGTTACGAAGATGTTAAAGAAGACAACAAAACTTAAAAGCAAGTAAAGCGGTGGGATCTCTTAATTATATAATCTGGAAGAACAAAGAATCTATAAAGCCGCCATTAGACCTATATTAACATACACGGCGGAGACAAGAACTGACATATTAAAAAACGAGACGACTACTAGAAACAACGGAGATGAAAATACTCCGACGAATATCAAGGAAAAGTATGTTTGATAGGGAGAGAAGCGAAAACATAAGAAGAGCATGCAATATAGAAGACATAAATGGATGGGTGATAAAACGGAAAAAGGAGTGGAACGAACACATTAGTAGAATGGCAGAAGAAAGGATAGTATCTACGAATAGCAAAGAAGTATTTGCAGACCAAGAAAAAGATGGTACGATAATTTAAAAAAATTAGGAGGCTAATATTGAAGAAGAAACAAGCTTTAAAGCCTACATACAAGAAGGAAGAAGAAGAAGATGGAGAAATCAATATTAGCTGTAAGAAAAATTGGATGCAACTCGTTAATTCCATTTTAGCGATTCCATTTATATTAATACGGTATTTAAAACAACTTTTTCTTGTACTTTCAATTTTATGAGCAACTAGGGATCTCCATGATCATCCAACTGCTATTAAGTTTTCAAGTATAGATTGAGAAACTATATAATGGGAAGAAACGATAAAATTATTTCAACATCTGCAAACGTAGATGATGTATCAGAGTCGGCTCATTTTACTATTAACTTTAAAAAAAGAAATACTTGGATATATCTCGGACGCTAATGATAAAATCGTTTACTTTCCACTTTCCTAAGTGCGGTTTATTGAAACCAAGCCTGGTTGGTAATTTTAATTGGAACACATTGAAAATAACTAAAAATTATTTGAAAACCTAATAGGAGCCGCAAAACATGTAAAAATATTAAAGATAATTACAATATCTTCAAGAGAAAAATCATAAAAATTGTAAAATAAATGTCTAATTGATATTCATTAAGTCTGAAGTATGACACGCTTTTCGTTTATCTAAAATTCTTTACACTTTACCGTCCTTGTTTGTAATCTACACAATCAAATCGTAGATTCATATATTTCTTTAATTAATTTTACAAATCACTGATCCATTTTCAAAGCACGTTTTCACAGAAAGTAACTAGTTATGCCATCTTAGTGCAAGATCAAGGCATACTTACCGTTAGTAGTTTAAGTTTCGAAGTTATTCATTAGCTGTATTAGCGGAGCACAAGGATGTATGTAAGTTGTCGGATTGCTGTTCTTGTTTGTCCTTCATCATCATCATCTTGGTGCTACAGCCCTTAGAGGGCCTCGACCTTCTCAAGCTTTCTACGTCATTCTGTTCTGTCCCTTGCTTGAATTTTCCAGTTGCCGACTCCGATCTTCTCCGCATCTTGTGTTACCCCATCCATCCACCTCAGCTTTGGTCTACCTCGTCGTCTCATTCCCACAGGTTGCGCTGTTAGAATCTTTTTTATCATGTTCGATTCAGGGGCCCGGGCTACATGTCCTGCCCACTGCAGGCGGTTTCGTTTAATTATAGTGGTAATATCTTTACCACCAAACGTATGCTTGTAGATATTCTGCAGTTCGAAGTTATATCTACGCCTCCATATTCCGTTCTCACAGACCGCTCCAAATATCTTGCGTAGCACCTTTCTTTCAAAAATGGATAGAGCGGATTCATCTGTTTTCGTTAGCGTCCATGCCTCTGATCCGTATGTGAGAACGGGGACTATCAGTGTTCTATACAGCCTTATACGAGTTTTTTGAGACAGACGTTTGTTAGCTAGGTACTTTGATAGACCATAATAACACCTGTTTGCAATTATTATTCGCCTTTTTATTTCCTCAGATGTATTATTATTGGGGTTAACCGATGTCCCTAGATATATGAACTCATTGACTGCTTCGAAAGTTTGGTCATTGATGATTAAATTTGTGTCAACATTTCCAGCTCTTGTGTTTGTGTTAGTCGCCATGAATTTGGTTTTATTTTGATTTATATGTAACCCCATTCGTTCTGCTGCTGCTACTAGCTCGGTTAGGATTTCCGCAGTTCTCGCCCTAGTTCTTGTTATAATGTCCACGCCGTCTGCATATGCTAGAATTTGGACTGATATATTAAATATTGTTCCTCTGCTATCTAAATTAGCGTCTCGTACAACTTTTTCTAAGGCGACATTAAAAAGCTGACACGCCAGCGCATCTCCCTGCCTTAACCCCCTATGTATTTGAAATGGGGTTGACGAGTCGTTTTGAATTTTTACTGCTGATAGCATCTTCGCCATTGTCACTTTTACCAAACATATGAGTTTTTTTGGAATTCCTAACTCATTCATAGCGTTGTAAAGACTTGGTCTTAAGACACTGTCATATGCCGCTTTAAAATCGACAAAAATATGATACATATCTATGTTAAACTCTTGCGCTTTTCGAGGATCTGTCGTAGTGTAAAGATCTGGTTAATGGTTGAACGTCCAGGCCTGAATCCTGCCTGATATTCCCCTAGAAACATTTCAGTATAAGGCTTTAATCTCTCGTGCAAAATATTTGATAATATCTTTTATGCTGTATTTAGGAGAGTTATTCTGCGGTAATTATTGCATTCCAGTTGGTTTCCCTTTTTGTGTAACGGGCAAATTAAGCCTAAGCTCCATTCTTCTGGCATTTGCTTCTCAGACCAAATTCTACAAACAATTTCTCGCATCACCTTGGTGAGCTGCTCTCCACCGTGCTTAAATAACTCTGCTGGGATGCCATCGCTACCTGGGGACCTATGGTTCCTTAGTTTTTCTATAGATATTTTTACTTCATCTACCGAGGGGGGTTCCACGAGTTCCTCATTTCGGTATTCCAGCTCTATATTGTTAGTAGGTCCAGTAGGTTAGTAGTCTTGTTTTTCCTAATCTTCGCGTAATTTCTTCATCTGCTGTTGCCGTTTTCGTGATTATAAACCCCAAGTATGTGAATTTATCTTTTCCTTTGATTGTTACGTTGTCTTCAATCTGTAGATCTTCTATGCCTTGTTCACTTGTAGATAGGTACTCTGTTTTCGCGAGGTTAACATTTAGGCCAGCTTTGGTATAGTCTTCTTGTAGTTTCTTCATCATGTAGCTGAGGTCGTCTTGGTCTTGTGCAATCACTACTTGATCGTCTGTAAAGCTTAACGTATATAGGTATTCGTTCGGTACCGGTACTCCTATGCCTTCGCATGTTCGTTTCCATGTAGTCAAGGCTTTTTCTTAGTATATTTTGAATAGGGTTGGAGATATGGAATAACCCTGCAGGAGGCTATTTGTTGTGTTGAAGTCTCCTATGATTCTTGTTCCTACTTTATTTTCTTTATACAGAGCTTTTGTAGCTTCTATGAGTTCCATCTGTATTTCTAATTTGTACATTGCCTTCCATAGTTCTGACCTTGTTACAGAGTAATACGCCTTTCTCAGGTCCACTAATTTCAAATGTATATCTCTTTTTTTTTGTTTTTTTTTTCTTTTCCAATAGTTGTTCCAGTGTGTATATGTGGTCTATGCATGATCTTCCTGCCGTGAAGCCTGCGTGATCCTCCTCGATTTTGCCTTTTATCGCGTGTTCTATCTTTTCTCGCAGTATCTTCCCATTTAGTCTTCCTATTGATGATATTACGCCCAAATTTAATATTATTATATTTAATTGCAGCAAATACTAGCCAAAAAGTCAAAACATCTAATGTTTCACAAAAAAGACGTAGTATTACTCCAAATAGGTCTGAGCAAGGTTCTTCGACAAAGAAACGAAAACTTAAGGTAAGTTGAGATTAATGTGTACATTTTTAGTTGTTTATTGTTCTTTATATTTACTAATATCAATCAATGACTTAACTAAAATTCAACCTGCTTTGTAAAAAAAACAGTACAATGAAATCGATCTAGGCTAGTTGGGTTTCAGTAGGTCGAAAATAAAATGTGTACATTTTAAACCACAATAAATATTATAATCCACAAGAAAAATGAATTTCCTGTAGGCCATAAATCTCAAAAAAACCATAGCATCCCGAAAAATAGTCAATCCACGTTTTGGGAACACGACTTTGTAAAGGCGCTTTAATAAGCAACAAGGAAGTGCCAAAGGTGATTTGAGAGGACGAAGAACAATATTTTCCACTGCTATTGAAAAGGAAATTGCTGACCATACTATCACCATGGAAGCTCATTTTTTTTTGGCCCGATCAGTAAATATTTACGAAAACTTGTATACGAAGTAGCTGATAGAAACAATATTAGCAATTTTAATAATGAAATCAAGGTGACAGGCTGGAAATGGGTCAGGGGCTTTTAAAGGTGAAATCCTCGAATATCATTACGAACTCCAGAAAATACTTCGTTGGCAAGGACTCAAGCTTTTAATAAACCAAATATATGTACCTATTTTACAGCATTAGCACATATATTAAACGAGTTTCAATATTTATGACATGAACGAGTCCGGTTTGACAACTGTGTAAAAGAGATCGCAGAAGATTTATGCTAGTAAAGGTCGCAAACAAGTTGGTGCTTTAAGTAGTGCAGAGCGCGGTCTACATGTTACGGTTGTATGTGCAATGAATACAATTAGAACATATATTCCTCCTGCTTTGATTTTCCTCGACAGAGAAAGAAAGACGAACCTACGATCGATGCACCTACTGGAAGTGTAGCCTTCGCTTAAGAAAAAGGATGGATGACTTCCGACATTTTCTGTCTCTGGCTGCAACATTTTTTTAAGTTATTCAAAGGCTTCGAAAACCAAACAAGTTTTGTTGTTACTCGATGGTCATGGTAGTCATAAAAGTTTTGAACCTCTCCAGTTTGCAAAACAAAACGTTTGTTGTGTTTTGTTTTCCTGCTCACTACTCTCATCACGTTCAACCCTTGGACGTAGGATTTTTTAGATCACTTCAAATTTACTACGGCCAAGAAATTCATTTATGGCTGCTACAGAATCCAGGTAAAACAGTTACCCAATTTAAAGTAGCCAATATCTTTAATAGAGCATATTTAAAAAGTGCTCTTCCATCAAATGCACTAAATGCATTTAAAAAGACAGGAATAGAACCGTTCAATCCAGATGTGTTCGAGGATTGGCAATTTTGCCGTCTATAACAACAGATAGAGAAAATTATGAACAAAACCCACTTCCAGGATGTTCTGATAAGAACTTACTACCGGAACATCGGAATAAAAATGTTTCTTCGATTGAAAGTTTATCAAAAGTCACTGATTGGAAATCAACATCAGCGTCAGTCCTAAACATCTCGGTCGAAGATATTTGTCCTCCTCCTTTAGCTGGAGTATCTGAAGTAACTCGGAAAAGGGGTAGATAACGGAGTAAAATAGGATATTTTAATTCAACGCCAGAAATTGATAATATAAAATAAAAAATTGCAGAAAAAGAAGCCAAAAAAAAAAGAAAACAAGACGCTAGAAAAGTTAAAAGGCAAGTTCGTGTTTCAACTACAAACAGTTCTGAAGACGATTGTCAATCTTCTTTTGAACAAGACGACTCAGACGATGCAGCTTGCATTTACTGTAACGAACTATTTTCGCATTCACGATCCAAAGAAAAATGGATTCGTTGTCAAGTGTGTTAGAATTGGTGTCACAATAAATGTGCAGACGTAAATCCTGGATGTAAACAATTTGTGCGAGAATTGTGCATGTAACTTTTTTCTTAAAAATACCTATTTGTAATATTATTTATCGTTTAGAATATCTTTTCGTTTAATAAAATAATTTGGTATTTACTTATTTTATACAAAATGCAACGGGTCCATCATGGGCGTATCAAAGGGTGCATCATGAGCGCATATATGCCCATGATGGACCATTAACAGGATTATAGAAAACTATGAATAACTTTTGTCATCTTAATTTTTATCAAAATTTGAAACATTTGCATATTATACAAATAACAAGACGTTATGTGGTCATATTTAAAGCCTGCTAAGTAAATAATTCACCATTCTGGCCTAACACCATCAGAAACGAAGATCGGCTACACCTGACCGAACAAAAGAGGGTACAAAATGAAATTAAGTCCAGAAAGTGGGGTTGGATCGGTCACACACTCCGAAAAAATAGTTCCGGTATCGCAAAGACTGCCCTAGAGTGGAATCCCCAAGGGAAAAGAAAAAGAGGTCGCCCAGTACAAACTTGGAGAAGATCCATCCATGGACGAGATAAGAGGCCAAGGAAAGTCTTGAAATGAGGTGAAGGCCTTAGCGCAAAATAGAACCCGATGGCGCGTTTTCACTGAAGCTCTATTCTCCACTTGGGAGTTCAAGAACCTTATATAAGTAAATAATTAAAATTATTATAGAGCTTTTTCCTTAAGGGGTCCATCATAACCACATTTCCCCTTAAATAAGGCAATTGGTTGCAGTAAGATCGAATTATTCCAGTATTACGTAAAAAACACAAAATTTTATGAGTAAAACTGTCATTTACTGCAAACTTACCAAGCACGATGAAATGATCAGAAGAACGACTCTACTTTTATATGTACATAACAATCTATGTTCCGGCAATTTCAGAGAAATACTCCTGTATTTAATGTTTAATTTCTATAAAATGTTAGAGGTAATGGATTTTAACAAGAGCTATGAGTCATGCCGATTCAGTACACAAGTTTACATGTTATTTACAAAGTAATAGCTCTTGTCGAAATCCATTACCTTTACTATTATGAATGATTTGTCTGTTTAATTAATACAAAGAGAAATAATATAAATAAAATTTTTTTGGAAGTTATAAAAATGTCTTATGGAGGCCATACACGTTAGGATTTGCATGATGGTTTTAACCTTGCATGCATAACCGACAGGCAAGCCCTAGCGTCTATGTGATAAAACTTTACAGTTATCGGTGCATGTAACGAGCGGCATAAAATTCATATTTTATGCCGCTCGGTTTTGCTTGCCTGCGAGCATACCCTAGCGTATGTGGCGTCCGGCGAGCTTGCCTGCCATAGTTCTCATAGCATCACATGTTTCAGGTAGTATTCGTCCCAAAGCCTGGGGTGATATGATAGCAGAATATTTCAAACACTCGTATGTTCTTCCTGTTGCAATAAATCTTAATGTTACTGCTAGTCTCCCATGTGCTGGTATTGCTTTCCTCATAACAGTATCTTGTCTTTGTATTAACGGAGTAGTCAATGATAATAGTTTCAAATAAAGTTTTTCATTCATTCGTAAATAATTTTTGTATTCTGTTGGTTTAAATCTCAATTCATTTATCAAATTAACGTGAGAGAAATGATTTCTTTTTAATAACCAGCGTTTAGACCATTCAGTGCGATCTCTCTTTTTTTCTTTTCTGAAGAATAAGTGTTAAGCTAAGTACAGCTATCACATCGTTGTCGTCCATTGTAGTTTGGTAGGTATATACCGCACGAAGTACCTTAGGCATCCTGCAAACACCGTCACGTAGCTTAACAGAAGAGTTAATGGCAAAACTGTGCATGCAAACCCTAACGTGTATGTGTAATATGGAACTCGGTTATACCTGTCGGTTATGCATGCAAGGTTAAAACAATCATGTAAATCCTAACGTGTATGGCCTCCATTAGAAATATAAAATTAATATAAAGGTAATAAAACAGGTACGCAGAATTATAATTTAGATAATCGATTATAATTACAAAAATTAGGACTAAGCATAATAACGTAAGCAAATCCAAAATAAAATACTGCATCGTGAATTTCTCGGGTACTCGAGTCTAATGATATTCGCGCAAATACTTCTAGACTGGTCGATTCTATTTATGTTTTATACGCACTCTAGCCAGAGTATCAGATTTGTGCCGTATCTATATCTACGCTAAATTTCAGTCTTGATATGTACATGCGTGTGTACACGCAACCCATGAAAAATATGATTGATTTAAATTTACTCATTTATTGCAAGATATTTAGAGAGAAGTTTAATTGTATAAACTGAGTATTAAAATGTTAGTTATTAATTAAATAAGAGATTTAGAGAGTTAGAAATAGTTTTATTAAATACTTTTTCCAATGCATTTTATACAGGCACGCGTGGGCATGTCGCCTAATGGTAGAGCCGTCCTTGATTTATTTGGTTTATTTTATAGAAAATCGGTGATAAGAAACAAAAGAAAGAAATTAACGACAAAAATAAAGAGAATAATTTTCGTCCAATATTACACGAAGATTTTCCACTCAAAAAGAGTTGTTTTGCGGAGAGAAACAATAGCACTATTAGACAAAAAAGAAAATTGTATGATCCAAATGATGTGGTTGAGATATGCCCAGAAATGATAACTAAGGAACCCAATTTTTATGAAAATCGGTAAGAATAGTGCCACTATTTAGTTTATGTGTTTATTATTTCACCGTTTTTCATTCGACCGTTAGGAATATTAGCTTAATTATAAACAAACTGTTGGGCAAAATTAACTGTCTATTCTTCTTCTTCTTCTTAGTCGTTAACCTGATGCATCGTGATGATCGATGTATCGTGATATCACGAAGCTATTAGCTAAATTTCCCAATGTTCCTCCACGTTTTTCTATCTTCTGCCATTCTAGCACATTCTCACAATGGAGCGCCAATGGTAGCAACAATATGGTCCGTGTATCGTGTGGGAGATCTACCTCTATTTCTTTTGCCTTCTACTTTTCCCTGGATGGTAAGTTTTTCAAGACCATTTCTTCGAAGCACATGTCCAAAATAGCTTATTATTTGTTCTGATATTTGTGTTCTTAGTCTTTTTTATGTTTAGCTGATCCAGTATGGACTCATTTGTTCTTCGGGCCACCCATGGTATTCTCAGCATTCGTCTCCAGCAGTACATCTCAAATACATCTATGTTCTTTTTGTCTTTCTCAGTAAGGGTCCAGCATTCCGATGCATAAGTAAAAACTGGAAAAACTAGATTTCTTACTACTCTCATTTTTGTATCGGTAGTTATTTCATGGTTTTCCAAATTTTTGTTAATTTTGCCATAGCGCTTTTTGCGATTGCTGACCGCCGCTTTATTTCTTCAGTACAGCCTCCTTTGTTGGTTATTAATGAGCCCAGATACACAAATTTATCTACAACAGCGATATTGTTTATCATGACCTTATGATTTTGATTGTTGTTAGCTCTGTCAATTATCATGATTCTCGTTTTATCTCTGTTTATTTTAAGGCCCATCGTTAAGCTTACGTCTTCTATCCGTTGTAGCAAGTGAATCAATTCAGCTTCAGAACTAGCGAGGATAGTAGTATCATCTGCATATCTCAAGTTGCAAATCTTCTTCCCGCCAATGGTGATGCCACCATTCCAGTCCTCAGTAGCTTTCCGCATTATCCATTCACCATAGATGTTAAATAGAATTGGGCTTAGTATGCAACGTTGTCTCACGCCCTTTGTGACCCTGAAACTATCGGTTAGTTCCCCATTTATTCTAACTCTGGCATAATTGTTATTGTACAGGCTTTTAATTAGCAGTATCAGATGATTGGGGACTCCTATTTCAGACAAAACCTGCCACATTTTACTCTATTATCATTTTTGATGATTGTCTATTATCATTTTTAAAAACATTCAGGGATAATGATAATTTTGTGAACTTTTGACTCCAAATTTCTTACTAGTGTCCTCCCAAATGTAAGCAGCTCTACACTATTTCTAATGTTTTATCGTTTTGTGGAAACGGTAATTTATATTGGAACTTTTGCTAATTAGCATTGTTTTCGTTTTATCGATATTAAGGCTCATTCGGAAATTTCTGCTAGTCGATTCAATACGGAGAAAGAGTGTGTACCTACAATGTTCGAAAAATTTGTACTTGGAATGGCCGAAGTATGTTTGAAGAGGGAAGATCCACAACACTATCCAAGAAATGGAAATGTTAAAGATCGACATGGTGCAAATCAACGATATAAGATGGTCAGACTCTGAACCGTGCTGCGTAAGTGAACATATTTTGTATTACTCTGGAAACGAAGACCCACATTACTGAAATAGTGTAGCGGTGATTCTGAGCAAAAGCATTCAGCGTGCTTCCTCCGTCGAACAGTCATGCTGGTGAAGCTGCAGGGCAGGTCCACGCATCATCCAGGTTATACCAACATCATCCAAATTTACGCTCTGATATCATACAAGCTAGAAGAGAACACCGAAGAGTTCTACGCACTTGTGCAGAAGGCACTTATTTATAACAGAAACAACGCGCTTAGAAAGAACAATAGAACCCTTCAGAACTGCTGCAGGTAGAGTAAAATATGCCGTAATAATCGTCAATGCCCTTAAAGGATGAGGCACACGAATAAGAAGATTTAAATGCCAAAATTTGAAAACGCAGAATAGAAGATTTTGCCACTGCTAACACGTGGTTTAGACTTCCTCCAAGATAACTTTACACATGAAGTCACCTGCAACTTGGCATACCGCCATAATATTATCAGAAACGAAATAGACTTTATTCCCATTAATAAAAAGTTCAAGAACAGCTTGAATAGGTAGAAATTATAACAAAAATTATCAAGAGTAAACCAAAAGAGATTTTGGATTATTACACTCTGATAGACCCTGTACTTCGTCAGAACGTAAAGGATACAATAAGAGAAAAGCTAGAAACCAATATATAACAATAACAGAGTGTAGAATAAAAATCGAGATCATATAAAAATCATATATATATGTGATCATATAAACATCCACCAAAAAATTCGAGAAGCCACTGGTCAATACAACAAGAGACTCACAACCCTCCTCATGGACAACGATAGGAACCTGGCAACGAAAGTTTATGAGAAAATGTTCACCAGTAAAGTGTACTTTTCGGGGACTACTAAGTCAACCCTCCAGAAATAGATTTCATGACCGTCTCGTTAATACTATAGAGCGAGGTGAAAGCAGCAACAATTTAAGAACTGAAAAACCACAGGTCCGGGCGCAATACCAGCCCAACTTCTGAA